GGTCCACTTCTCGGCTCCAATTGTGCGCCTGTTTAGTGCCGCCCAACACAACTGTGTCACTGTTCGGTAGGATATAGTGGGCGCCGGCCATCACTCCGTGTTTAATCCATGGCGCGTATATACGATATATTTGACCACGAATTGGATGCACTTTATTATCGCCGCAGAACTTGTTTGCCACAATACCCGTGCAATTGATCGCTATGTCATACTTTCCGCACAATTCCTTTATATCGTTGATCCGCTTTTGTACAACACGTCCGCCCTTTCCGACACAATATTTACATTAAATAAAAAAATTATAAACTTTTACATTAGTTATCACTTGCTTTTGATTTAAATTGTTGCATCAAAAACGGCAATAGTTTAGTGCATTCGGCGTAATATGTGGTCACAGTCACCCCTTTTGTCCACTTTTTGGGAAACAGATTCATCTCCTGTGCTCAGTATAGAGACGTCGAATAGTAGAGAAGTAGTGTAAGACTAAAAAATATGCGCAGATGAAAGAGCAGTTTATTGTCTATGTTACTGTAGTTTGGCTATGGGTCAAATGGGCGTAAACCACTGTGAAAGTGGTCCCTTAAATAGCTCATTGTGTCCCTAACCCATCGGCGAACTCGTTTTGGGTCAGTCTTTCCCGGCAAATATGGGTATATGAGTCCCACACTGCCGTCGCCGGTAGTGTTTGGCGTGAATTCTTCAGATATTAACGTTATATCAATAATATTGGGTATGTTTTCAATGAGAACTACCGCTGATGTCATGCCTATTATTCCGCCACCGATTACAGAAATTTTGGTTCGTTTGGCAGACATTTTAGATCAAAATAACGTTTCAAAAAATGTTAGTTTAAACACATCTCTAATATTCGTAAGTAATTGAAACAAATTGCATGAAATCAATGGGTAGTAAAAAGATTTGAATTTATATTGTTTCTTATACACGTGAATACATCCAACATAAGCTGATTTTCATGCACACGTGTTTTAAATTATAATAAACTAGCGTTCAAAACCCGCGGTTTTATTTTAAACAGCCTATCGTTGCTTACAAACTATTCACTCCAAAACAACTGTTACTACATTTTCTCTTGTTTTTTATCCTCTTATTTTATGTAGTTTTCACTATCCCTCCCACCCCCTTATTGTTACGTCTGTCAGGGTTGTCCCTTGCATGACATTGGCTTATATTACTTGATTATATTAAAATATTACTTGTCTACTGTTTTGAATCATTACTTTTTTGTGCGATTACATGAACCTGTTCCCATAAACTTACCCTACCTTATTCCTCCCCCACCTGCGTACCTAACCCAATCCAACCCAACCTAAACCAACTTCAAAATTTTTAATCACAATTTATTTGTGAAAAATATGGTTTATAAGATCGTTCGGCCCCTTCCCTTCCCACATCCTACGAGGTTTACCATGTGATTCCATGTTAATCCTATGACTATACTTTAACATGGGAGACTCTCATAAGATAACATGAAGATTATTATAATATTACTTAACAAATAGAATTGTTTTCAAAATTAATTATCAACATTCGTGAATCTCTATTGAATAAAATTTGAGAGAAAATGATTTGTCATTTAGAAATTACGGTTAAAATCGTCGACAATTTGTTGCAACGAATCGGCGTTGTTTGTGATTTGATGGGCCAATTGGGTCAACACGGGTGCAAATAAGGCCATATCATTGATAAGCCGTGCCAAGCGTTCTAGGTCGTTCCGGCGATAGTGTTCAAACTCGTTGTCCTCAATCCGAATGCCCCACCGCTGGTACAGAGACCGGAACACTCCCGTATCGAAGTCCGACCATTTGGCCACAAAGTCACCGGCGTTTTGGTCGTCCCTAAACACCAGTACATTGCCGTAAGTGGGGTCCAAATGAAGTATACTCTGGCTGTGCATATAATTCATACCTATATATCAGCATAAAAATTACATAATTATATGTTATAAGATAACTTTTATAAAACATGTAACACTATAATTATGGCGTAAACATACCAGCGCACATTTCCTGTGCAAACTTAATGGCCAAGCGTTGAGTGATTCTGCCGGCCTGACCAAAATCATAGAGGCTAGACTCGGCCAAATCCATTGCCAAAAACATGCGATCATACGATACAATTGGTTTGATGTTTGGGTCCTTATTGTTAATAATGTATCGCTTTTTACCCAAATTGATGGCTATTTTAAGTGATACACAGTTTGGATGTTTAAGTGCTTTTAGGATTTGCTTCTCTATCTCGTGATCGATACGCAATGAATAGTCCGCGTATTAACTGAACTGCACGTATTTGGCCGCAAATCCCCGGCCGGCGACAACACCCTTCAGACGACTGCCTTCCGTTGTACTCAATCCGTAAATCTATAAAAATAAATATATTTAACTTAATATTTGTACACAATAAGTTTGTAAACAAGGTAAGTACCCGTTGATTGTAAACACCCCGGTACGCCACTCCCTGTACTCCACTACCCAATTTACCAGTTTGTGAAAAATCTATTTCAAAGCCTTTGTCCCAAAGTGTTTGTAAATCCATTTGGGTTTTCACATTCAACGCCATATTCTGATTGTCTTCTTCCATATCTGATGGCAACTCTTCGCCACTACTATTGACATAGATTTCGGCTGAAGTACCGCTGATAGAGCCCTCCGGCATCTCTCCCGCGCCCATACGCCTGAAGTCCGATACGAGTCTATCCCTGGGCGTCGCTAATGGTATTGCGGGTATGAATTGCGCGCCACCGGTGGCCAAACCGCTTGATTGGCCAACAGTTTGATCCATAGCCGGCCACTGCTGTGATTGTTGGGCTCCCATAACAGAGCTCCCGCGCGATGAATGTCCGCTACTCGGGGTAGGGGTGGCGACGGGGGACAACTCATCGCTGGAAGCGCTGTCAGCGTTTTCGCCGAACCGAGACATTGAGAGCCCACTCGAGGGATAAGGAGTTTGAGGAAATCGCGAGAGATCTCCGATATACATGTCGTCCATATTAGTGGCCTGTGGTGTGTACTGTGTGTGCGGTGCACCCCATTCACCGCTATGTGCTGCTGTAGGAAAGTGCCACTCATCTGCCCGTTGAGTCTGAGCCCACTGTTGCCATTCGCCTTCATCTGTTGTGCGCATAGGTCTGGCAGCGGGTGTGGCCGGGAGTGCACCGGTGGGCAAACCACTGGTTCTAATGGGAGCCAGTATTGGGTAAGGATCGACCTCTTCAATGGGCGCATCCATCAAATGGCCGTCGCGTGGGTGCGCCTGTTCTACTGGTGTGAGACTGACCTGGCTCAACGCCATCAGTCTACTGCCACGTTGTCTCCGGGGATGCATTCCTCCTCCTTTTGCCATTTTGCCCGCAATTTGTTTTTTGAATGAGTGTTAAATGAGTTCAACAATTATTGTTTAAAAATTTAAAATTTATTAATTTTTGATCTTAATTGGACTATTGATTTGTTAGTGATTTATTACCAATTCATCAGTTTTTTCTCCAATCAATAAAACAATTGGTTTTATATTATTAAAAAAATAAAATTTTATTTAAATTGAAGATTAATTGAGATTAACACTTAATTACGTAATTACTTTATATTGTTTTAATTATTATGAGTTTACATTATAATGAGTTTAAAGACATTTTAACTGTTTGGACATAGAGATCTTCAATAGACATCAAATTCTCTTCCAATTGGTCAGTCTGTTCTACTGGTGTCAGATTGACCTGGCTCAATGCCATCAGTTTATTACCACGTTGCCTCCTGGTGCCCCGTCCTCTCCTGTCAGACTTTTTGTTTCCAATTTGTTGTGAAAACCCAATTAATTTTGAACGAGTTTTAAATTAGTTAAATGTTTGTTGTTCAAAAAATATCAATAACAATTGCAATTACAATATTGTTAAAACTATTAATACCTAAACGTTATTAAACTATTTTGTAAACAAACAGTTAAAATGTATACAATTAAGTACAGATATATTTAAATAAAACTCAAATATAAATATTCCTAACCACATGAATTTATATTAAAATTAAACCAAAACTTCAAAACTGTGTTCACATTTTATTTTAAACACAATTAAATTACTGTCCGTGCGGGTGCACTCAATATAACTATCTAGTGTCTGACTCATGACTTCTACCCACTGCTACCGGACCCACCCGTACCGGCGCTGTCCTGATTGTTAACCGAAGTGGTAGTGGTCTGAGTAGTGGTGAACACATAGTCGGGCGGAGGGTATGCGTGCTGTAGAGTCCAATGTCGGGCCGTTTTGTTGAACTTTGGCCGATCCCTGAGATACATGCGCGCAGCCGTGCCGTTGTAGGGGTCGTTGGGGTTCGGGTCGGCCAACAATGACTGCACAGACAGAAGCACTTTACCAATGCTGAGACCGGCGCTCCAGTTCCGCTTCAATGTGTCCAAACAAATCTGCCCGAAGTCACTGACGTTCGGGTGAAATATCTTTGTTGTGAATGCGATTTGTGGTGCACTCAGCGGGTAATTGGCCGGGAAATTGATTTGCACATTAAACAGTCCGCCCTCGTAGGGGGTGTCCGGCGGGCCCTCAATACTGCCCGACCACTGGAAATAGTCGGTGCCATTGGGTGCGGCCGTACAGCCCGGCGGCGGATCTCTTTGAAGTTCTGTCAACTCTTTGTGGATCCGCTTTAAGGCCATTGTATCGCCCGATGGAGTGCTCTCTGCAAACTGTCTTCGGATCACTGTTTTTGGGATACAAATTAAGCGCTTGTTTTGTGTTTCAAATATTATTTTCAGCAAAATTTGCTTTAATTTTAAGTGTTTTTGAAAATATTTAATAAAATAATGGTATTATAAATAGTTAATTTTTTATTCAAATTTTCCAAAATTAATTATTTATTTTATTGATATAAAAAAATAAAAATATTGAGAAAATTATTTTACATACAATTAATAAAATTAAATTTTTAAGGTTTTTAAATTATAATTTTTATAATCAAATTAAAAATGAAAACAATAACATAGTGTTCCATAACAACATGTACACAAGTAAACCCATTAACAAGTTTGTTTTGTCCAAAATCTGAATCGTAAAAATAACATGTTTAAAATTACTTGATTTAAAATAATAACTATTTATTCATCACATGAATAGTCTTTAGAATTTGTTGCAAAGTGTTTGTACCCTCTATTAATTGTTGTGACAATTGCTTCAACACATCCGCATATTTGGCCAACTCGTCGATAGTACATAAGGCCATACGCTTGTAATCTTTCCTGCGATAGTATTCAAACTCCTTGGCATCAATAGTGACGCCCCACTGTTGGCACACTGACCTTGATAAACTCAGATCAAAGTCCGTCCATTTGGCCACTAAGGTATCGGGGTTTTGGTAGTCGCCAAACACCAGTACATTCGCCCAATGCGGGTCCATATGAATGACACCCTCGTTATGCATATAATTCATGCCTATATTTAGAATAAAAATTATATATTAAGTATTATACAATATTATTGTATACCCCACACAGTAAACACTGTACGTTATTACAAATGTTATAAATTTACCGTCGCATAAATTCTTTGCAAATTTGGTGGCCATCTGTTCAGTGACTTTACCGTCCTTAATAAACTGTTTGAGACTGGAGTCGGCCAAATCCATGACCAAAAATATGCGGTCATACGAGACAAATCGGATTTTCTGATTCATTTTGTGGACAAAGTATCGCTTTTTACCCAAATTGATGGCTATTTTAAACGATACAATATTTGGATGTTTGAGTGCTTTCAATATACGCCTCTCATTCTCGTGTTTGATGCGCTCCATTTCAGCATATTGTGGGCGAAACTGCACGTATTTGGCCGCAAATGCCTGATCGGGCGCTACTCCGTCCATACGAGTGCCTAACATAACACTCGATTGAAGGATCTATAAGAAAAACATTTGTTTACAACTTGAATCAAATATTTAGTTTTGCAAAATTAGTCAGTAAACAAATAAATACGTTTTGATTGTAAACACCCCGGTATGTAACTCCTTGGGACCCTTTCTCTCCCAGTTGACCCTCTGGTGTGAAGTTAATCTCAAAGCCATTATCCGATAGTTTTGGTAAATCCAATCGGGTTTTCTCTAAAAGTGCTTTCCAGTGATCATTTAGGTCTAAATACTGTTGGGGATACACTTGGGTACCACTAGTGACACAGAGCTGAGCTGATGTGCTGCCAATACCTCCATCCGGCACCACTCCCGCGTCCATAAACGTGAACGCGTCGTCCAGTCTATCCCGCGGCTCGCGAGGGGGCGACCATTGTGTCTCACCGGAAGCCCCCGACCTATTAGATTGGCCACTAGTTTCTTTTCCGGTCTCCTCTTCAAAATTCAAATTCAAGTCATATAGTGTTGAGTATTGGGTACTTGCGGTAGGAGTGGGGGCGGGGGTTGACTGGTCTACTGCACCGGATGGAGACGCGAATTGCTGACCGGGCTGATAAGAAGTGTGCCCCACTTGTGACCCTAATGCAATTGTCAAGTCACTCACAACTGACCGTTCCGTTTGAGTCTTTCGTTTCAATTCTCCCACATTTGCCGATCGTTTAGGAGTGGCGTCGGGTGTGGGCGGGAGTCCAGCGGTGGATGAACTGTGGGCTGGATTTGCCGATTCTAATTGCGGCTCTTGTTTTGGTTGAATTGGGTTCGCTTGACTCGAAGCACTACTTCTCCGCTGCCTCTTCTTTGGACGGCCCTCTTCTTCGTCACTCATTTTGAATAAAAATGTGTAACTTTTGGACGAGTTTTTAATAAGTTAATTATTGTTATTTTTAAATCAAATTAATTTTAATGAATTTAAAAAAATTAAAACAATTAAATCCTATATGCAAATTAAATTACTTAATAATTTACTATAAATAAATTTGCCATCATTTTAATACGTATAATAAAGCAACATACTTAATATCCATAATATTGTATTTAATATACAATAAATTACTACAAACATGCTATTTTAGATTTCATTTAAATTCAAGATTTTTGACAACTTGATCCAATGATTTATTCAACTTTAAGAGATCGTTGTCCAGAACATGCTTAAAATTACTTGATTTAAAATAATAACTATAAATATTTATTTGTCAAATGGAAAATTGTCCAGAATTTGTTGCAAAGTGTTTGTACCCTCTTTTAATTGTTGTGACAATTGCTTCAACACATCCGCATAGACGGCCAAGTCGTCGATAACATGGGCCGCCATAAGCTTGAGATCCTTTTTGCGATAGTGTTCAAACTCTTTGTTCTCAACGGTGACGCCCCACTTCTGGCACAATGACTTTGATAGACTCAGGTCAAAGTCCGTCCATTTGGCCACTAAGTCATCGGGGTTTTGGTAGTCGCCAAACACCAGTACATTCGCCCAATGCGGGTCCATATGAATAACACCCTCGTTATGCATATAATTCATGCCTATATTTTAGAATAAAAATTATATATTAAGTATTATACAAGTATTATTGTATACCCCACACAGTAAACACTGCACGTTGTTACAAATGTTATAAATTTACCTTCACATATATTCCATGCAAATTTGATAGCCATCTGTTTAGTCACTTTACGGTTATTAATAAAGTGTTTGAGACTACAGTCGGCCAAATCCATGACCAAAAACATGCGGTCATATGAGACAAATTGGATATTCTGATTCATTTTGTTGACAAAGTATCGCTTTTTACCCAAATTGATGGCTATTTTAAACGATACAATATTTGGATGTTTGAGTGCTTTCAATATACGCCTCTCAGTCTCGTGTTTGATGCGCTCCATTTCAGCATATCGTGGACGAAACTGCACGTATTTGGCCGCAAATGCCTGATCGGGTGCTACGCCTTCCATACGAGTGCCTAACATAACACTCGATTGAAGGATCTATAAGAAGAACATTTGTTTACAAATTGAATCAAATATTTAGTTTTGCAAAATAAGTGTGTAAACAAATAAATACGTTTTGATTGTAAACACCCCGGTATGTAACTCCTTGGGACCCTTTCTCTCCCAGTTGGCCCTCTTGTGTGAATTCAATCCCAAAGCCTTCATCCGATAGTTTTGGTAAATCCAATCGGGTTTTCTCTATAAGTGCTTTCCAGTGATCATTTAGGTCTAAATACTGTTGGGGATACACTTGGGTATTACTTGTGACACAGAGCTGAGCTGATGTGCTGCCAATACCTCCTTCCGGCACCTCTCCCGCGTCCATAAACGTGAACGCGTTGTCCAGTCTATACCGCGGCGCCATAGAAGACGTCCATTGAATCTCTCCGGAAGCCCCGGACCCACCAGTTTGGCCACTAGTCTCGTCTCTAGTCTCCTCTTCAAAATTCAAATTCAAGTCATATAGTGTTGAGTATTGGGTACTTGCGGTGGGAGTGGGGGCGGGAGTTGACTGGTCTACAGCACCGGATGGAGACGCGAATTGCTGACCGGACTGATAAGAAGTGTGCCCTACTTGTGATCCTAATGCAATTGTCAAGTCCCTCACAACTGATCGTTCCGTTTGAGTCTTTCTTTTCAATTGTCCCGCATTTGCCGATCGTTGAGGAGTGGCATCGGGTGTGAGCGGGAGTCCAACGGTGGGTGAAGTATGGGCTGAATTTGCCGATTCTAATTGCGGCTCTTGATTTGGTTGAATTGGGTTCCCTACACTCAAAACACTTCTACTCTTTTGCCTCTTCAGTGGACGGCCCTCTTCTTCGTCACTCATTTTGGATAAAAATGTGTGACTTTTGGACGAGTTTTTAATTAAGTTAAATATTGTTATTTTTAAATCAAATTAATTTTAATGAATTTAAAAAAATTAAAACAATTAAATCCTATATGCAAATTAAATTACTTAATAATTTACTATAAATAAATTTGCCATTATTTTAATATGTATAATAAAGCAACATACTGTATTTAATATCCATAATATTGTATTTAATGTACAATTAATTACTATAAATCTTTGCTGTTTTAGATTTCATTTAAATTCAAGATCTTTGACAAATTGATCCAATGGTTTGTCCAACTTTATGAGATTATCGGCCATTTTGCTTAACACACTTATATCAAATCCGACATCATTGGCACGTTTGTATATAAATTTTATAACACCAGCTAGATCAGTTATGTCATTCTCCCTTAACTTGTTAATTGGGACACAAATTGTTTGTGTCTTAAATATTATTTTCAGCAAAATTTGTTTTAATTTTAATTGTTTTTAAAAATATTTTATAAAATAATCTTTTTAAAAATGGTTTATTTATTTTATTCAAATTTTCCCAAAATAATAATATATTTTATTGATATTAAAAATAAAAATATTGATAAAATTATTTTACTTACAATTTATAAAATCAAGTTTTTAAAGTATTTAAATTAGAATTTTTACAATCAAATTAACAATAAACAAGTTTGTTTGGTCCAAAATCTGATTCTTAAAAATAACATGTTTAGAATTACTTGATTTAAAATAATAACTATTTATTCATCCAATGAAAAATTGTCCAAAATTTGTTGCAAAGTGTTTGTACCCTCTTTTAATTGTTGTGACAATTGCTTCAACACATCCGCATCACTTTTATCGGCCAACTCGTCAATAGTACGGGCCATACGCTTGAGATCATTACTGCGATAGTGTTCAAACTCTTTGTCCTCAACGGTGACGCCCCACTTCTGGCACAATGACTTTGATAGACCCATATCAAAGTCCGTCCATTTGGCCACTAAGCCATCGGGGTGTTTGAGATTGCCAAACAACAGTACATTCCCGGAATGCGCGTCCATATGAATGACACCCGCTCTATGCATATAATTCATGCCTATATTTAGAATACAAATTACATATAAAGTTATTATACAATATTATTGTTACAAATGTTATAAATTTACCGTCGCATAAATTCTGTGCAAATTTGCGGGCCATCTGTTCAGTGACTTTATAAGTGCTAATAAAGTGCTTGAGATTACACTCCGCCAAATCCATGACCAAAAACATGCGGTCATATGAGACAAATTGGATACTCGGCGTCTGTTTGTTGACAAAGTATCGCTTTTTACCCAAATTGATGGCTATTTTAAACGATACAATATTTGGATGTTTGAGTACTTTCAATATACACCTCTCATTCTCGTGTTTGATGCGTTTCAATTCATCAAATTCTGGGCCAAACTGCACGTATTTCGCCGCAAATCTCTGGTCAGGCTCTACGCCCTCGAGACGCGTGGCTTTTCTACTACCCAATTGACGAATCTATAAGAGAAAAATATGTTTACAAATTAAATTAAACATTAAGTTTTGCAAAATAAGTGTGTAAACAAATAAATACGTGTTGATTGTAAACACCCTGGTATGTAGCTCCTTGGCAACCGTGCTCTCCCAGTTGACCCTCAGGTGTGAAGTCAATCGCAAAGCCTTCAGCCGATAGTTTTGGTAAATCCGATCGGGTTTTCGCTTCGAGTGCTTCCGTGTGATTATTCAGTGATAAATACTCTTCGGGATACACTTCGGCACCACTACCGACACAGATCTGAGCTGATGTGCTGCCAATACCTCCGTCCGGCACCACTCCCGCGTCCATAAACGTGAACGCGTCGTCCAGTCTATACCGCGGACCGATAGGGAGCACCCATTGAGCCTCACCGGAAGCCCCCGACCCACCAGTTTGGCCACTAACTGGTGCTTCTTCTTCTTCATCTTCTGAGCCAAACAATTCCAAATTCAAGTCATGTACCGATTTGTGTGGCGTACTCGAGGTGGGAGTGGGGGCGGGGGTAGACTGATCTACTGCACCGGATGGAGACGCAAATTGCTGACCGGACTGATAAGAAGTGTGCCCCACTTGTGACCCTGATGCAATTGGCAAGTCACTCACACCTGACCGTTCCGTTTGAGTCTTTCTTTTCAATTGTCCCGCATTTGCCGATTGTTGAGGAGTGGCATCGGGTGTGGGCGGGAGTCCAGGGGTGAACGAACTGTGGCCTGGATTTGTCGATTCCAATTGCGGCCCTTGTTTTGGTTGAATTGGGTTCGCTTGACCCGAAGCACTACTTCTCCGTTGCCTCTTCTTTGGACGTCCCTCTTCTTCGTCACTCATTTTGGTAAAAATGTGTGCTTTTGGACGAGTTTTTAATAAAGTTAAATTTTGTTATATTTAAATCACATTTATTTTTTATTTTAAAAATTTCTAAAAACAATGAAATCCTTTATGAAAACCAAATTACTAACGAGTTAAATAATTTTATGATTGACTGGTAAACAGATCTTAACAACTCTATACGAGTTAACAAATAAACAAGTTTGTTTTGTCCGAAATCTTAATTTTAAACATAATATGTTTAAAATTAGTTGATTTAATATAATAACTATTTATTCATCAAACGAAAAAAGTGTTCAGAATTAGTTGCAAAGTGTTTGTACCCTCTTTTAATTGTTGTGACAAATCCTTTAACACATCCGCAAAGTCGACCAACTCGTCAATAGTACGGGCCATACCCTCGAGATCATCCCTGCGACAATGTTCAAACTTGTTCTGCTTAACGGTGACGCCTTACCGCTGGCACAATGACCTTGATAGACTCAGATCAAAGTCCGTCCATTTGGCCACTAAAGTATCGGGGTTTTGGTGATCGCCAAACACCAGTACATTCTCGGAATGCGGATCCATATGAATGACACCCTCGTTATGCATGTAATTCATGCCTATATTTAGAATACAACTTATATAGAGT